CCTAAACTCTAAACCCTTAACCGTAAACCCTAAACCTCAGGCCTTCACATCTACTCTGAGCTAGAATCAGAGAGGGACGACTCCTCCTCCGACAAGCCTTGCGGCAGGGGCATGAGGAATACGCAGGGAGATTGATGCCGGGATATTATATATATAATATATATATATATGTAAATATGTGTGTAAAGTGTGTATATATGTATATACTAAGGGTATACAGAGATGACTGGGAACAACACTCACCTCAGCCTCGGTTGCAAAGGCATTCCGAGGTTTTGACGAGGGCCCCTCTCCTTGTGATACCCTTCCCAAAAAGTCTAGGGTTCAGTGTTTAGGGGGGATTGCCTTTCGAAAAAGCTAAGGTTTATAGAGCCGTTCTGATCTTACAGGGGCAGGACCGTTGGCCTCCGGCAGGTTCAGCAGTGGATACCATGTGTTCGAGGCAGCAGGTAAGAAGCAAAAAAACATCGTGGCGGCGGTATATGTCTTTGTCAGCTAAGGTCACAGTTTCAAAGTCTGCCGTGGAAAAAATACTGCAGGGAAATTGGCGTGAAGAATGGCAGAGCACTCAGCTGGTTCAGACTGGCCAGCTCTCTAAATGAAAATGTTTCAAAGCTGTTGGTCCAGGAAGTCGCGGAGCCTGAATACTTTGCCTGCGTTCAGTAGGCACGCTGCCTCCTCTCTTGAACTTGATACCTGGAGCTGTGCAGTCAAACACCCAGACCTCAATATGGACCCCAATATACCATCATTCCATTCTGATGACCCTGAAAGGGACCCATAGTTCTTGCAGATACCCACATAACAAATCCACCATGATGTTTCTCTGAGACCTTTGGCAGAATCCTCCTCTGCATCTCTTTTCTAGATAGGGTAAGTTCAACCTCATAAGGTTAGAAAAAAAAAACTCGAACTATGTAAATGTGGCGCCCTAGTCCAGCACTTTCAAAAAGGGCTTCAAAAAGGGAGCACCCAATTCGAAATCCTCAGCGCGGCCCATCGCGTTCTGTTATAAACACAAAACCAGCCCAGCGCCTTCGTCGCTTTGCAACTTGACCTGCATGCTTCCAGGGAATTTCGGGCTTATCTAAGGTGGGTAGCCATTATATACCCACTATATACCTCATGCGGCCCTACAAACCCAATTGAGGGCCCACAGTTAAGACCCAGCAAACCGCTGGGGGCCCATATATGGGGCCCGTAGTAGTTAGGACCTTAGAGTATGTGCATATATATATATATGTAGGGATTCTTGATGTACATATATATATATACATAGGGATGTTCGTCGCAGCTGCCAGCTCACATTGCCCCCGAACAACTTATGGGTGTCGAAGGGGGGTTAGGGCATTGGGGTGATGGGCGAATGAATAGAGGTACAGCTGTGGTGTCTCCATTGCGCTTATACCTACCGTACTCATGGGAACAGATATGCTGTTCGGATACACTCCATGACTGTCCCTTGAGCACCTTCGAGACAACTGCTACAAACACAAAGCCATAACAAAGTAGATTCTCACCAGACGGTAACAGCCAAACCCCACCAACAAAGCAGATTTCGGCACCTAAGAAACATGCCAACACCGCGAAAAACTTGCACAACAACATCATACAGTCATTTCACGGCCACAGAAACTTGATGGCAAGAATTCGCATATTGCCACATCACCAGAACCGCGCCTGTCTTTGATAGCGCTTCATCTGCCACTTGGTCAGCAGCTTGCTTAGCTCGCACAGCACCAGCGTAGCTGCAGGTCCTGCGCATGCAGTGTCAGGATTCATTGATTCTGGCCAGCTTCGGGTGTCAGGGTTGAGAGTTCACTTTTGAGACCAGGGTAGACAAACTCTGCACGCACCGGAGCTTCCCCACAATGTTGCTGGCTTCTGTGAATGCCTGTCACAGTACAAGGGCTAGTAAGCTCAGGAACTATCACAGAGGATGTCCCTTCACGCAAAACTTCGATAATCCAACAGCCGAACATCATCAGACTTCAGTATCATGCAAAGAAGAATTGCAAGGCACCCGGAAGGTGTGAAGCGTCTCTGTGATTTTGAGTCATGAGGTCGTGAGCCGCACTCTTTACTATCATTATTATCACCATCATTATTATCATTATTACGATTATTACTACTATTACTATGATTATTATTGTCATTCTCATTTTCCAACCCCTCAAAGTGTGCTCGACGTTGAAACATCCCCCGTACCGAATTCTGCGTAATCTGCCTTGCTTTCTGTTGTGGTTGCTTCTACCATACGGTGTGCTGCTATCCGGGTACAAACCGGATTGTTGCCCAAGAGACCGTGCACGTGATACCTAGAGGTTCATACGGAAAACCCTCCCAAGATGATCCTGCATCTCTACATGCCCAATCCGCTAACCAGGACCCTAAATCCCCCAAACCTCCCTAGAGGGCAAAGGGAGACCTTGACTTGGGCAAAGAGAGAAGGGGACAGAGAGAGAGAGATAGAGAAAGATAGAGAGAGAGAAGAGAGAGAGACAGACAGGCAGAGCAAGCGCGGAAGAGAGAGAGAGGGAGATCGAGACATATGGAAGTTTCCAGAAATAGAGAGACCTCTTCATACTCTTTAATATACTGTATCGCTTAGTATAGTTACCCCCACAAAAAGGATCTTTAATTTTTTTGGAAACCCAAATCCCTGCAAACAAACCACTGCACAGTCCCGGTTTCTATTTAATCTACCTTTGTCTTGCCATTTGACTCTCCATGATTGGGGTCATACACCAAATTTTGGAAGCCCTAAACCCTATATACCCACATAGACCCCCATATGATCCCCTATATAACCCCTACATCCCGCTTAAAGGGGCCCATGCTACTTTCGCAAATAGGGGGACCCAATAGAGACCCCAAGAATCTACAATCATCATGATAGGGACCCCCAAAAAAGAAAGCCCTACTTTTCCTAGACCCTAAACTCTATATAACCCGAAAAAACCCTATAGAATCCCTATAGGATCCCTACCTATAGTAACCCTATATGAGCCATTGTCTAGACTCCTAGTATCCCCCGTAACAAGCCCTATAGTAGTCCCCTATATAGTCTCCTATATAACCCCCCTTTAAGGCGTTTTGACTATAGCTCATATAACGCTATGAACAGGCCTGTCAACGAGAAGAGCCAGCCCCACAAGCCAATATGGAGGCCGTCCAGGCCAAGAATCTGGATCAGGTGCCGGGAGTTAGGGCTTGGGGTTTACGGCTTGAGGGTTTAGGGTTTGGGGTTTAGGGTTTTTGGTTTTGGTTTAGGGTTTGTGGTTAGGGTTTAGGGTTTGGGGTTTAGGGCCTGGGATTTGGGGTTTAGGGTTTAGGGCGTGGGTTTGTGGGTGTGGGTTTGGGGTTCAGGGTTTCGGGCTAAGGGTTGTACACGTTTGGGGGCTTAGGGTGTAGGGCTTAGGGATCAGGACTTATTCAGAACTCAAGCTTGTGCTACATTACCATAACGTACGACATGTCCATCCCAAATGATGAATCCAATGGTAGTAGTGACTTCAACAATGGTTCACCAGGCCTGCCAGCTGCCTGAGAATAACTTTGTGCATACACTCCTTCCTTGATCGGGACGGAAGCCAACCGTTTAAGCAAATGCTATTTGGTCACAGCTTCAACATGCAGCCTGGGGCTTGGGATTGTAGAGTATGTTGGGCTTAGGCATGTGAATTCTAGTCCGAAATTATGGGATAAGCGCTGGAGCGATCCCTGATAAGGATCCTGGGGCCGCAAGGCAGAATATCCCCAAGCTAGGACTTCCTGTATTGTAACGGCAACATTGCTGAAAAGAACATCCAGAAATCTCCGCCGCAAGTTGCAAAACTGTCGAGGGATCCTCAAAACAAGGACTCACACAGACAAGAGTCCCGAACTCCTGTAACCCCATTCACCCTGGATCCTGCTCATGCGCCCTGACTGCAAACCCACTCTCCTGCCTGAACAACTTCTGGTAAACCCCCTACTCCGAAATCAAGGATCTGATAATACTATCACATGACTTTCAACGAAATCCCTTTTTTACATACACCTACCTGTCAAAAAGTTGAGTGGGCCCCCGTGCACGGGGCGCCGCTGACTACGGAAAGCCCAGCAGGGCTTATTGGGGGCTGATGGGGTTTGAAAGTGCATGATCCTTCGTCTGTTACGACCGCTTCGACAGCTCAAATTTGGCTAAATGGGGCCCATCGGGTCTATTGGGGGCTGATGCTGACCTAATGAACATCTTTCAACGTTTCTACGGACGTCGATTCCGAACAAGCTTGTGGAAACCCCTGCAGGGGCCACCAAACAGCCCTTTGCACCTAGTCAGAAAACACGGAGAACCACGCCCTGAACCCTTAACCCCAAACCCTAAACACGGAACAGGGGCCCCAGTAGCCTCTCACAGTTTACATGCGCCCACAGAATTCCCCAACAGCAGGTTTGAATCTGGGGGACCTTCTAATTAGGGGGGCTCTTGTAAGCCATATGAAGTTACGTATTCCCCCGTAAGTTAAAAGCCTGATCCCTAAATCGTACTCGCCCTACCTGGTCGGAAAAGAAGGGGATGAGGACTGCACAGAGCATCGCAACCTGCGTGCTCCGCACGTTTTATGTCTTAAGGGTTAAGGCGTAGGGTGGGTTTAAGATTTGCTGTCATCAGTTCTTCTTGGCGCATAATCTCCTCCTCGTAAAATGAAATCCTCAACCCCAGGATGTTTCAGTATGACATACGTAATGGTACCATATTGGGATATAATCATTTTACTGAGGAGATTTCGTTTGTTCGGCGGAGGGAAGTACTTAGGTCTCGAAAGGCCGGCGACAGTCATGTGTTTCTCTGCGCCACGCTTTTCCCCAAACAGCGGTCATGTCAAACTTTTGCACCGACCATGTATTATGTAGCTTCCTTAAATGAAGAAGCCAAATATAGACCTGCAGATATTATAATCCGCATTATAATGGACCCCCAAAAAGGGTCCCTTGATTTGCGTATAAATGCCATATGGACATGGCATGCGATTGACAGCCCAGCTCCCAATGAACCCGTTCCAGGCTTGGGTTTTACTACCCCCCGTACTTCTTCCAAGATTCCCACGTAGCAAACTTTAATTAAATATACATTATCTCAGGATGACTCTAATTAACGGGATCACCTGGAAGTTGTACGGAGGGATAGTAAGGAGGCACAAGATATCAAGAAGGGCCCAGTTGGTGGAAAGCTTGGGGTTTAGGGTGTCTCATCGAGGGTGTGCGCTGGTGCCCACACGAGAGAACATAATTTTCATAACCTCCATGTGGGGTTCCATGCTTACTTGGGGCAGAGCCCTAAACCCTGAGGTCTCAGGCCCAAAATAAGCAGAAATTCTCTGGAACCCAAAAACAAAACACAAAACTCCCTAAACCCTAAACCCTAAAAACTACCCACAAAACCCTTCCCAACACTCAGGAAGTGAACCCTACACACTCTCTCCTAAACCGTGTGGCTACTGCGCGCCTGGGCCACTAAAACAGCCCTCTGCATCACCTCGGGACTTGAAGCTTGGTGATTTGGGCTTCAGGCTTACTGAGAGAAACCTGATATCTGGAGAATAGGTAAAGCTACCAAAATCTTAGGTACAAAGCCCTTTCGGGTGGTTGTCAAAACTCTGGTCCCTTTTTGGATCCCTATTATAATACCGCACCTAATATTTAGGTTACCCAAAAAGGGGCCATTATCATCACCCATATTGGTTGCAATGGGTAGGGCTGTTTTTGAACCACCGGGGACTTTTTTGCCTGCACAGGCTGTACAGGGTACCCCCAAACCGGAGCTTCTGGACACCTGCACTACTAAGCAGGACAGCCGTACCACCTACGGTTTTTCTACGGTTCAGGGTTTACAGCGTTTGGGGATAAGCTTAGGGCTTTTTAGGTTGGGGCTTGGGGTTTAGGGGTCTCGGGCTTAGGGTTTGGGGTTGACGATTTGAAACCTTGCTCAAGATTGACAGAATATGTTCTTCAACACGCTGGATCTCCAAACCGATCTACTTCTCAGGGTGCGTGGTTTCTATCATGGCAAATGGCAATGCATGCACGTTCGAATCTTGCTACTTAGGTGTAGACCCAGAAGTGCTCCAAACGGGGTCTTCTCAAAATCGGGTGCCAGCATATGCCCCAACAATTGGAAGATTCTTGCTACAAAGAGCGCAAACAAAGGCATCGATGATTTCGAAAACGGCCACAGAAATGCTGTTTCTATTGCTCCCAGCGCTAGGCCTGGTACTTTTCACTAGTATTGCCATTACTTTTCCTGCTCCATTACTCTTACTCTTAGTCTTACTCTTCCTATTACCATTTACTACTACTAGTATTTCTGATATGACAAAGTCTGAGCAGCCCCAGTGGCTGGGTTCGTGCAGAGGTCCACCCACACCGGCTGACTGAAGGATCGGCAGATGTACGCGCGGACATTCTCCTTTTGTGCAGGTGGACAGCACCCCAGGCCTATACATCCCTACATAACCCTGCCATGTAAAGGGAACGAGAATCATTGTTCATAAGAATTAGTCCACATACCAGCGTGACGGGCCTTGTAACTGCCAACTCTGTTCATTGCTGGGTTCGCAAAGTATAGGTGGGCTTCCAGAACTTTTTGGGGGGGTGTCTTTTTTAGGTGTCCCTTTAGCGGGGATACTCTTTCGGGGCCACATTTGCAAACTACCATACGATTGTTTCGCTCGCGGCTGCCACTGTTATGTAGAAACAAGCAGAAGTGCAAATTGTCCCTATGACCCATTTACAATCCCCAAAGAATCCCTATATTATCCCTATATAGAGTCATCTGCAAGCCCGCCAACTGCGCCATACGACGCTGACAACTAGGAGATTAAACCAGATGTCAAGCCGCGCGTTTGGTTTGGGTTCAAGGTTTAGGGTTTGGGGTTCGGTTGAGCCCTACATATTCCTGCATTACTGCGTTGGGCCTAAGCTTAGCTTAGGGTTTCTTGCAATCCCCGTAGAAGCCCTAGATATGCTCAGTTTCCATTTCCTTTCCATGTTAAATTGTACTATCGACTTGAATCGTATTTGTAGAGTTTCTGTGAAAGGTTGGGTCATTCCCCCTTACAGTAATAGTTATCACAAGAATAGGAGTTAGAATGGCCCCTTAAGGAAGCCCTTTAAGGACAGTTAATGTAAGGGGGAATGACCCATTCGATTCTTACCGTAAGCCCGACACCCTAAACCCTAAACCCTGAACGAACCTGAACCCTACACCCTGCACCTAGACCCTAAACCCTAAGCCCTAAACCCTGAACCCCAATCCCTAGACCCTAAACCTCTGTGAAAGGTGTCAAGCATAGCAGTTTCTACACTAAAAGCAGCTGCAACTTTGAGGTGCAGTGGTCAAATGCCCAAGGTGTAGTGTTTAGGGTTTAGGGAGTTTCCAAAAATCAGGGGTCCATTTTAGGGATGCGATATATGGACTAGAAAAGTTGCGGTGCAGAACAGGAACCAATTTTTTGGAAAAAATGAAGCCAAGTCTCACAGAATACCAGGGATATGAAGGCAACGGTTCTTGCCTTTGCCAGCTGATCATCCACCTCTCCCTGCGATTCTCCTGCCGTGCCCCCAAACCCTTAGGCCTAAACCCTTACCCGCGTAAGATCCTTCTGCTCCCGCAACCTTGATCTTGAAAAAGTCCGGACGAGTTTTGACTAGGTTTCTGGGTTTACCTTAGGTCCTTCCCACTTTCAGTAATCAACAGCTACCACACCTGGCAATAGAAGCCCATCACTAAAGCCCCTTTACACGCAGTTACTGTGAGTTGGAATGACCCAAGGTCTACCAGAGGACACCTAAAAACGAAAGCCGTAATTGCCTAAAGCCCTGCACTGTGAACTTGCCTGGATCCTAGTACGGCGGGAGGAGGGTGCTTGAATGAGGAGATGGAATTGGTCATTCGGTGGTGGCCCCATTGAGTGGGCCCCAGCCTGAAAGACTCCTTCCACACAGAGGGCTTCCCAAAAAAGGAAACCTAAACCCTAAACCTAAACCCTAGCTTACGTTTGACTTTTCGAGTCGGCACATCCCAGCACTCTTTGTATCTCGCGGGGACATGAGACCCTGGCTCAGACAAAGCTTGCTTGACCGCTTAGGGAGTAATGGGTTTAGCGCATAGGGAGATTGTAGCGAAGATTGTCATCCAACTTGCGTGACATGGCGCACTGGAGCCTTGTCAAACTGGCCAACGACGGCAGTAAGTTTTGAACCCGAGCCCTCAACTCCAAACCGCTCTACTTGGAGGCCCATGGGAC